AAGATCATGGCTTATAGTTACGCCTAAATATTTACTGTCTTTTACTGATTCTAGGAAATGATTGTGCAATGTATAATCAAAAGGGGAAGGGTTAATTTTTTTAGAGATATGTATTACGTAACACTTTTCAGGATTAAAATTCATTTGCTAGTCCTCTTCCCATTGTACTAAACTAGATAAATCTTTTTGAAGTAATTGTGCATCAGAATTATTATTTACATTTCTATACAATAAGCAGTCATCCGCAAAAAGTCTTGCATTGCAAGTTACATGGTCTGGTAAGTCATTAATAAACAGCAAAAATAATGTTGGGCCTAATACTGTTCCCTGAGGGACAACAGAATCAACAGCTAATTTAGAAGATTTAACACCATTTAAGAGTACCTGCTGTTGCCTGTCAGCTAAAACATCATTTATCCAATTTAAGTTTTGATTCCTTATTCCGTAAAAACCTAATTTTTGAGCTAGTCTTTGATGGGGGGCTTTATCAAATGCTTTAGAAAAATCTAAAAGTATAACATCTATTCGATTACCATTTGCCAATGATTTAGCTAGATCTTGTATATTGATAATGAGTTGTGTGTCACAATACCTTTTACTCCTAAACCCATGTTGACTGTCATTTAATATATTATTATTTGTAAGATGTTTTCTGATGTTGCTTGTTAAAATATGTTTCAAAATTTTACAACATATTGCAGTTTATGAAACTGGTTTATAATAAATAGCGTTATTCTTGTCACCTTTTTTAAATATGGGTACAACATTAGCCTGCATCCAATCAGTTGGAATTTTACCAGTATCAATTGATATTTGGAAAAAGAATGTCGAAAATGGAGACATTTCTTCAGCAAAATCATGTAAAATATATGCTGGCAGATTATCAGGGCCAGTGGCTTTATGGAGATTTAAGTTTGTAAGTAACTTTAATAAACCGTTTTTATTATACTGTGGATTCATTATTATTCGTTGGAAACTAATTTTCGTGGATTTCGTGGGTACAAGTGAACCACGAAAATAAATGTTCAACGAATAACAAATTTCCTATAGGCTTGTATGCAGACTTCGTTAAAACCACGAAATTAAATATCCACGAACATGTACGTTTTCCTTAATCCACGAATATTGGTATCCACGAAAATAAATGAATCCACAGTATATATGTCTGACATGGTGGGATGGGGACTTATACCTTTATTTGGCATGAATGATGTATCTTCGGTAGTGAAAGAAAGCCTTTTTAAAATTGTTCATTTAGGATGTTGGCTTGTGTATTTGGGTTACTGTATAATAGACCATCCTTTCCTCTTAATGGCAAAACTGCAGATGTTTCTGTTTTTTTTTTTACTTTTTATGAATTGCCAGAAAAATTTAGGTTTTTCTTCTAACTTGGGGCTAATTATGTCTTGCATATATGTACTCTGAGCTCTTCTTATTTCCTTTTGTGCAGTAGTTTTTAATTTTTCAAATTTATAATTATGATCTTTTTTACCAGTTTTTTAGCTTTGTTGTAGGCTTTATGTTTTTTTTTTACATAAATTATCTATATCCCTATTAGCCCAAGGGTTTGTGTATTTAGTTTTAGTCATTTTGCTTGGAATATTATTAACTATTATTTTGTTACTACCTTCTTTAAATTTATTCCACAATTGATCACGATCAATAGTTAAATTTACATTAACCTGAGATAAGAGATCAGATATAAAATTAGATGTTACATCTTTTATTTTATTAAGATCAACCTTTTTTCCATAAATAAATTTTAAGTTATGATTGTTTACATCTTTGGAGCTTGCAGATTGCATCCATCAATACAAATATTATGATCAGATATACCTGGTATAGATTTTATTTTGGTTATTAATGCAGGTTGGTTTGTATCTTTCCTACTTGGAAAATCAACCATCTGATCAATGCCTAAGTTATTCAGCGTATCTATAAATACTTGGTTCAGCTCCTTAGTATACAATGAGCCAGATATAATTTGCCCAGGCCATTTTATGTCTGGAAGGTTAATAACACCACCCAGCCTGAAGGTGGAATTCTTAAATTTTAATTTAAGTTCATAAATTTCAATGGTCATTTGTTTAAGATAGTCTATATCAGTTTTATTTGGTGGTGTATATGCAGAAACAATAATTAAGGGTTTAGTATCAGTTATATTAATTTGGGCAGCAATAAGTTCTACATTTTTGTTTTTATACACTTCATGGCAAATGATACCTTTTTTTTATGGCAATTAATACACCACAACCTTCCTTTCCGAGCCGGTCATTCCGAAATACGTCTTCAAATAGTGCATTTGGAAAATGTCAGAAGATAAAACATCTTTGTTAATCCATGTTTCATTACTGATGATAATATCTGGTCTAGATGACGTTAATAAATTTTCAATTTGAGGAACTTTATTTTGCAACTTCTAAAATTAATCTGAAGAACTTTTAATTAGTTTTGTCTATTCATATTCTTACTTCTGTTTTGCTTCGTCACTGATGGTTTTGGTGATGACGTAGCAACTGGATCTCCAATATTTTCATGATAATCACTACGAAAGCTTAGAAAAAAATGCTGAACTATTTGAAAGTATTGATTAGGAGTTAGGGTTCAAAATAGAACTACCTGAGGAGAGGTTTATTGAAAAATTGTTGTGGAGTGATTAGGAGTATCACATATCGGGCATATCCAAAGTGCTGATGAATTTCCAAACTTTTCATACATGGATGGACTTATATTTACGCGTCCAATATGACACCATTTATCACAGTTATCACAGACAATAGCATCACTGTCCCAGGTACACTCACGTGAACAAAGTGAGCATGGATAACTTGAGTCATAAAATTTAGTTGAACAAAGTTAGTTTCAACCTGAAAAGAATTCTAATCAAAAGATGAATGTGGCGATCTGATTTGCCAAACACACTTTTATTTTTAAAGTTTGACACATGCAAATGCCAATATTATATCTGGGTTGATACCTCAATGGTGGTATCACATTGAAGGCTGATAGTGAAACCCTCATATTTGTTGGAACCTAGTATTTTACTTGGTATATTTAACTCATTAACCGTGCTCAGAAAAATAAAAAAATGTTGAGGAAATAACGACTTAACTATGTTTAAACATTCTGACAGAGTCTCAGTGTCACAATAATATCAGTGAAGAGAAGGATGATGACTCTCACACACATTCATTACATGTTTAATAAGACAGTTAGTAGTTGATGACACATTAGATCTTCGTTTCTTGGGCGACTCAAGGACACAGAATAATCACACTAGGAAGCCACATTATATAAGGTGTAAGGATTGATAGATAGGATATTATTACCTATTTAATCACAAAGACTCTGTTTATCGATCAAGACAAAAAATAGGTAAACAGGAAATAGTTTACAATGTTTACATTTATGAAAATAATTTTTACCGCCACTGTACAAATGTGATTCAAAAATTTGCGTATAAAATATATAATATTACAAGGAAATATCAAACATTTCGATAGTTTCCATACAAACAAAGACAAATATAAGCCAAATATCGATTTAATAGGAAGTTCCGGGATTAATTACTCTGGCAGTAGCTGCAAATTTCAACAATATCGGGAGCTGCAAATTTAGACATCCATTTTCTAGCACATGCGCACAAAATATACACATTTTTTTCTAGAGGTTTAAAAGTTCGAAGGAAATTTATGTAAAGTTTGTGAGTAAGCGACCCAGTTTACACATCCAAAAAAATGTGTTTAATCCTTATAATTCTTAAGCCAAAGATATGCAATTTTTAATAAACGTTTAATTGCAATAAAATCTCAAATGAAATAGCACCTACCTCAAAACCTTCATTTTCATGAGATGGTATCTGAATTTGAAGCGTACAAGTAACGGAATAATCTTCATCATGAGCATTTTTATGACGTCATGTTCTGACATGACTTTAACGCGCCAAGATCATTGATCATAATTCACTTTATTTTTTTTCAATTTCATACATTTTACAAGCTTTATTAATGCATTATTTCTTTTAGCCATGCGTTAAAAAATGAAATAACAGTTCTGTAATTTGTTTTTTTAATCTCAATTTGCCTAGAACTCCTAGATCACATGCATGTATATCGCGCATGAACAGATTGCAGTGAAGGTTATGAAAGTAGTTTAGGCAACATGGTTTATCGAAGTGAAAACCTAAGCAACCATTTCAAAAAGACAAATCCGATTCGAATATTTGTAAATATGCAAATCACATAAGAATTATTCCACAATAAACAAAAAAGCTCTGTTTGAAGGCCTCACTGTGAGATAAAGAACAGCAATAAAAGCGCTGTTCCTTTGCTTTTTGTTTGTTTTTTGCTCTTTATGTACTGATTTTGTGTCATGAATGGATACCCCATATCCTTTGTTTTTCTACTAAATAATTTGATACTACTTATATTAAAGAAGATTTTCTTAAACATAATATATAATTATGGAGATCTTTCAACATTTTCAAGTGAATGTACGATATTTCTGGGCTTGTATTTACTATCATGATTTCCTTGATAGAGGGTTGCTGCTCACAAGGAAGCTATTAAACGACGGGTGCCACATGTGGAGCAGGATCTGCTTACCCTTCCGGAGCTCCTGAGATCACCCCTAGTTTTTGGTGGGGTTCGTGTTGCTTAGTCTTTAGTTTTCTATGTTGTGTCATCTGTACTATTATTTGTCTGTTTGTCTTTTTATTTTTGACCATGGCGTTGTCAGTTTGTTTTCGATCTATGAGCTTGACTCTCCCTCTGGTATCTTTCGTCCCTTTTTTATCATTATTTATTTTAGAAAGATCTGACAATTATGAACCTGATAGGCGAAAAAATAAACAATGGCGACAGCCAGTGTTTGCTTTGGGTCCACATGAACAGGATGAGGATACATTAATACGTCAAAGCTGGTTTTTGAGTTGTATGAATATCAACAACAGAGAATAGAAGAAACACTGCGAAACAACCGATGACATATGGAGGTGCGTGATGAAATACGTCAAGACATTTGTAAATGAAGATTATGAAGGACTTATTATCAAGAACGACATGATCCGATTTGGTAGTTCGATAGATGGATTAAAGGTCAACGATGCTTTAGAGTTTGATTGCATACTTCTGTTTGATATAATTGGAATGATAGTGTCGAAAGAGTTGGCAAGAGATTATTCCTCTGAGGAAATTCTTGGCATGATGAAACTTCGTGTCATTAATGCTGATTATCTGATTCAAAGATTTCCTTGGATAGAAAATACTGAAATAATTAAAAAGTTTGCAAATGGGGAGTACTTATAATAAACTCAAAAAAACTTGCAGGAAAAAGATTTCAAGTCTATAATTGACAAAACGCGAAAAGTGATTAATGACCAATTATATGATAAACACAGTTCTTATTTTCTTTGTCGTACTGCAAAAAAAACCTCCTACATTCGATATCAACATAACGCTTAACAAAGAGAAAGACATTACTGATCTTCGTGACGACATCAGATTGGTACAAGGAGTGCATGTGGCAATAGAGTCCGATAAAAAACCAGGCCTTGATATTGATTTTTTCCCAGCATTTCATTTACGGAATGATCGTGTTCCCAACCTATATACTGAAAAATTACCCCATGGATTTGGAATTGAACAAATGAACTGTCAAGTTTATGCTGTAATGAAGTGGGTACATCGCAGCACAGAAGCCTCCTCAACGTTTGACAGTGATTGTTTATGGAGAGAATGTACGTCTGGATATGAAAAACAGATACTTGATATTTGTAGACGAAACAACAGTCAACGATACCTTATGACTGCTTGTCGTTTGCTGAAATCATATGTAGCCAATCAGCATAAAACAATTCAGATAAGATCAGTTGCTGCATCTCAACATTTAAAGACTATTTGTTTCTTCTGCGTTACTTTTCTTACAACACCAAGCGACCATAATTCACTATCTTGGTTGAAAGAGGCTCTAGGATATTTTCTCTTTTTTCTGGGTCTATGCATAGAAAGCAAAAACCTGCCTCATTTCTTCTTTGGGAATCCATGGTTATGCACTCACTTTCCTAAGAGCTCCTTTGGGCATGGTCAAAAACAGAAGAACCTTTATAGCTCTGTTAAATGGGAAACTTTTAGACAAGCTTCATTAAGCTATACAAATATGCTAGATGATTTGAAAGGTCTTTATACTGAGTCTTGTCAGCTAGATACTTATTGCATAGAGCAATTCAAAGAACATTTGGGTTTGAAACACAACTACAGAAAGCCAAAATTTGAACTAATTACTAGTAAATTATATTCAGTATGGAAATTATGCATTTGCTTAACTATACTTATGCTCAAATTAAAAACATTTATTTACTTTACAATACTATTACTTTTCATCATAGCTATTACAATGACCTACATTCTCTCTTGTTCTCTTACTGTTCTGTTATTTCTTTTGCTTGCTCATTGTTATTCATTTGACTTGTTCACTTTCATGTTTTGGACTTTTTCTATGTTATCTTTTGTCATTTTATTTGAACCGATTGCTAGTACATCATATTCAGTATGGAAATTATGTATTTGCTTAACTATACTTTTTCTCAAATTAAAACTTTTTATTTACTTTACAATACTATTACTATTCATCATAGCTATTACAATGTCCTACATTCTCTCTTGTTCTTTTACTGTTCTGTTATTTCTTTTGCTTGCTCATTGTCATTCATTTAACTTGTTCACTGTCGTGTTATGGACTTTTTCTATGTTATCTTTCGTCATTTTATACTCTAATAGGGTATAGTATATGCGCGCAAAAATGTGATGTGTTTATTAAAAATGATATAAAATTTGAAATGATTAGTTTTATGCCACCATGTCCGGGAAATGATATATTTCAAAGTTTCCCCGTCAGTTATTCGCTTTTTTTCTTCCAAACTTAAGATATTGCCCTTTTATTGGTATTTGCTGTAGATAAAGTATTCGTGTCGGAATGACTGCAGATCTTGGTTTCAATAACCGTAAATATAACTGTCAAGCAATAACGGCTGTATAGCAATTGATTCACATGGTTTTCGTCTGGCTGAGCACACTAAAGAATGTTCTAGAGAAAGTGTGAGCTTAATATCTATAAATTGATATTACAATTCTAAATATATTTATTTTCGATATTGTTCAACATTTAGTTACTTTAAAACTCAAAAATCTAAAAATTAAGATTCCTGAGACTGTATTGGAAAGGAAAACACCCACCATTGTCCGTGAGGTAATTTTATCATATCTTTGTTAACTGATCAGACATAGCATACGTTTAATTAACATAAGGACAATCTTTTTGATTTTTTATTACTGATTTGTTGTCACCTATCAGAGTCATCACAAGGCATAACAAAAGAACTTAGTTGAAGGCCCTACAGTGACCAATAGTTGATTATTTCTGTGTCATTTGGTCTCTTGTGCAGCATTGTCTCATTGGCAATCATACCACATCTTCTTTTTTTTATGTATACTAGAACACACCTGCGAAATCGCGGGCATTTAGAGCGTTGTTGATGGTATGCAAACTGTTGTGGGATGAACTTTTGTAAAAGATTTTATGACTGTTGAGTATTTCATGAAAGTTATCAAAAGTCAAAGGTACTTGGGGACAGTACAATTTTTTTAGCCCTCCCCCTTATTTCCAAAGTCCATTATTGTTTTGTTGTTTTCTGTTAATTTCAATTATATTAGCGTTTTTTTCTGTATACTATGAACATACATAATAACATATACTATATAAATACAGTTTATTTGGTATTTATTATCAATCCATGGAATTAAACTTGGAATTGATAGCAAATAGCAAATACCTCATATTGATATAGTATATATTTGTGTTTGCTCATAGTATACAGAAAAACGCGAAAATAATTGTCATGTCCCCTTGTACCTATAAGTAATGAAAATAATGTGTAAGTTTAAGTCCTAAACGGAAGTCTTATCTATGACTTAAAAGTCAGTCCGAGAACGGAAACAATATACGGACGTCTTTATTTTCGTTTTTCTCCCAAAAAAACCCAAACGAAATATTTATAAGCGAGGATGACAAATGCGACTATGCATGGTACCTATAGGACATAAAAGCATGATGATTGATTTAATGTGGAAGGAAGAGAAGCGACACACAAAATGAGGTCTTCTCGTTTAATAGTATAGATACTGTATGATATAGGATGATTAAACTAATTAAAAAGTGAATAGATATAAGAAGATCTGGTATGAGTGGCAATGAGACAACTCTCGATCCAAGTCACAATTAATAAAAGTAAACCATTATAGGTCAAAGTACGGTCTTCAACACGGAGCCTTGGCTCACACCGACCAGCAAGCTATAAAGGGCCCCAAAAATTACTAGTGTAAAACCATTTACAAGGGAAAACCAACGGTCTAATCTATATAAAAAACGAGAAACGAGAAACACTTATGAACCACAGGTGCAAACAATTGCAGCGGGTCTAAACGTGTTAATGGTACCAAACCTTCAACCTTATCTGAAACAATAGTGTAACATCACAACATAGAAAGACACACTATAAAATATCAATTGAAATGGCTTAACTCAATCAAAAGACATATTAACACAAGTGAACATACACTGAATGAATAAATTTGATCTATGATACAATGTAAATACAAAATCAATAAAATAAGGAATGAATAATTAAAGTAACAGTATTATACCGCTGTGAAATGTTAAACAATTTCAGAAAAACAACAATAACATTGAACAAAAATCCGTCATTTACAATAATATTCTACACAGGTAAATGAAAATAATTTAGTTGTTAGGTAAACAGTTAAGATGGAGATCGGAAATTTTTTACAAAATAAATAATTTTGATGTTCATAGTACCAAGAAGTGACAATTTATAGTAATACCAAACACTTATCAAAGCTGGTATATAGACAAGATATTACCCTGAATAAGTAAACATTAAATAACAAAAAAGCATTACAAATAGTATCAACAGGTCAAGTTAACAAGAACGTACGATTTGAGAGTACTCGCAGTGTTTTTTTTAGCTTAAGTATTTCAAAGTTTCTGACATGGTATTTTTCTGTTCAAAATCTTTCCAATTATCAGATCATTATTATAGTGGGGTGACATTAACCCTAAAATCTAAAAAACTACACCCAAAAACGAGGCTGATAAGCTGTTGAAAAATAATCGTATTGTGAAATTTCCGACAAATGTAGTTCAACGGTAATAAAAGGATCATTTTGTATTTTTCAAGAAGTCAGCATTAATGCATATCCTGTCATCTAAATAATATTATAGTGGATAAAAATAATGAAAACTTATAGAAGAGAGAAATATTCGATGTAATTAATTTTGTACTATCCACCTTAAATCAAAAGTCAATCATGTTAACTCGTACAGTTTCCTCAAACACTGCTATCTGCAAAAAAAAAAACCCACCGGATTTATTGCGGACAACTATTTTATCTGCTCATACAATTACTGAATACCTGACAATATAACAATTTGTTGGAATAAAAGTCGCATTTGTGAGGCCATTCACATTCAGAAGGATTTCTTTTTTTCCCATCTCAACAGACCTGTCATCAAATTGTGTGCATTTATCTAAATTGATTCCGTAACTACGTCTTAAAGTTTGTAAAGTCATTAAACAGATTGGTTTAAGATATAGCTTACTTGTTCGGACACGCAAAACCAAATTCTCATATAACATCTCACATTCAATGTTTTTCAAATGAAAACGGAACTTATACCTTAAAATAACCGTTGAAAAATGAACTTAGTGTGTCTTTCTATGTTGTGATGTTATACTATTGTTTCAGAAAAGGGAGAAGGTTTGGTACCATTAAAACGTTTAATCTCGCTGCAATTGTTTGCACCTGTCCTAAGTCAGGAATCTGTGGTTGTCGTCTGTTTATGTGGTTCATAAGTGTTTCTAGTTTTTCGTTTTATATAGATTAGACAGTTGGTTTTCCCGTTTGAATGGTTTTACACTAGTAATTTTTGGGGCCCTTTATAGCTTGCTGTTCGGTGTGAGCCAAAGCTCCTTGTTGAAGGCCGCACCTTGACCTATAATGGTTTACGTTTATAAATTGTTACTTGGATGGAGAGTTGTCTCATTGGCACTCATACCACATCTTCCTATATCTATATATTATACACATAAGGTTTATGAGCTTTCCACTGCAATATTGTCAGTATGTTCAAATCTGTTGGCAAGTCGATGAAATCATACACAAATTCCGACAGAACAATATAGAATTTGTTGTTGGTCCTTGTCGATACCGAAATTTCCAATGTAATCATTTTTAGTTTGTTATTTCTCTTATATTATATAGTGACTGTAAACGTTACTAATATGATGAAGTAAACACAATTTGTTTCCTTCGGAGGCAGGGCTACTTAAAAACAATTTATGGAGTGCATTTGTAATTCTATATTTGTCAACTTTGTTTTTGTTTTGTTTTTGTGTTTCTCTTTATGAGCACTCTGACTGTAGGGTTTAGAGATAAATTTTAACGTAATTATCACAATATGACTTAGGTTATAAGTAAAAAATAGGAAGTTATTAGTATAAAATATAATAATAAAGAGTTGTTATAGAGTGTTGAACAAATATGCAAAGAACGAAGCTAGATAATATCTAGTTTATTGATGTTATTATTGAGAAATTAACTGAATTGTCTTAAAAACTATTATTTTGTATCCAAATTAAACCAAACAACTCCGTATTGAAGGCCTCAATGTGACTTTGAGATGTGGAACAGCAATAAAAGCGCTGTTGCTTTGCTTTTTGCAACTACTAGTTTTTGCTTTGAGTCCACATGAACAGGATTTGGATGCATTAATACGTGATAGCTGCTTTACGAGTAGTAGGAATAATAACGACACAGAGTGGAAGAAACACTGCGAAACAACCGATGAAACATTGAGGTGCCTAATGAAAAACGTCAAGAAATTTGCAAATGAAGATTTTGAAGGATGTATTAACAAGGACGACTTAATCCGATTTGGTAGTTCGAAGAATGGGTTGAAGGTCAACGATGTTTAAAAGTCTGATTGCATACTTCTATTTGATATAAGTGGAATGATAGTGTCGAAAGAGTTGGCAAGATATTATTCCTCTGAGGAAATTCTTGGCTTAATGAAACGTCGTGTCATTAATGCTGATTATCTTATTAGAAGATTTCCTTGGATAGAAAAGACTGAAATATTTGAAAAGTTTGCAAATAGGGAGTACTTCTTAAACACAAATCACTTACAGAAGAAAGTTTTCAAATCTATAATTGACAAAACACGAAAAGTGATAAATGACCAATTACATGATATACACAGTCCTTATTTTCTTCGCCGTACCTCAAAACCCCCTACATTCGATATCAACATAACGCTAAACAAAGAAAAAGATATTACTGATCTTCGTGACGACATCAGATCGGTACAAGGTGTGCATGTGGCAATAGAGTCCGATAAAAAACTAAGCATTGATATTGATTTTGTCCCAGCATTTCATTTACAAAATGATTGTGTTCCCAACCCATGTATTCGGAATTGAACAAATGAACTGTCAAGTTTATGATGAAATGAAGTGGGCACATCGTAGCACAGAAGCCTCCCCAACGTTTGACAGTGATTTTTTATGGAGAGAATGTACGTCTGGATATGTAAAACAGATACTTGTTATTTGTAGACGAAACAACAGTCAACGATACCTTATGACTGCTTGTCGTTTGCTGAAATCATATGTAGCCAATCAGTATTGAACAAATCAGATAAGATCACAGTTGCTGCATCTCAACATTTAAAGACTATTTGTTTCTACTGCGTTACTTTTCTTACAACGCCAAGCGACCATAATTCACTTCTGGGTTGAAAGAGGCTCTTGGGTATTATCTCTGTTTTCTGGGTCTATGTATAGAAAGCAAAAACCTGCCTCATTTCTTCTTTGGAAATCCATGGTTATGCACTCACTTTCCTAATAGCTCGTTTGGGCATGGTCAAAAACAGAAGAACCTGTATAGCTCTGTTGAATGGGAAACCTTCCGCCAAGCTTGATTAAGCTATACAGATATGCTATATGATCTGAAAGGACTTTATATTGAGTCTTGTCAGCTAGAACCTGATCGCATAGGACAATTTAAAGAACATTTGGGTTTGAAACACAACTACAGAAAGCCGAAATTTGAACCGATAAAATTAAGTTCAGGATGGAAATTATGCGTTTGCTTAAAGGAAAAGGCCATGTTTATAATTTTTTGTAATTATCTTCTACAAATTAGTTTCAGTTATTATAAAAAAATAAAAAAAATAACTATTTAGCAGTTTTAATTGTAATAGAGGGGTTTTAAATTTTAACATATTTGAATTTCCCGCCCTCACTGCGAGCGGCCATGACCGGTGAACATCTGACGTCACACAGTCGGTTTGTTTAAAAGACAAAAGCACAGGTGTATTTATGGATAGAATATCAACGAGTTTCCGATTAAATTAAAATGTAGAGCGATTGTGAAATGGCAGAAGGCCGGGACAATCTTGGAATCATTCCTTATGATTACGAACCGGAGTTTACACAAGAAGAACTGCAAAATATTAGAGAGACATCGCCGATGACAAATCATGCAACTTTAGAAGATTGGTGCAGTTGTAATGCATGTGAAGAAATGCCTTCGCCGGAGGAATGTATTTGTTGTTGCTCCTCTGAATATGTACAACCGAACATTGATGACTTGGAGTGCATAACAGAACACCCTCAGTTTTAGCTGATCGTCCTTCATTCAGACGTTTTGACAGTAGCATTTATTCAGATATTTATGTTTCAAGGAAATGCAGGTCGTGCCCCTGACAATTTAACTAACCAGTAAGTCAACTTTATATCGAATATTAAGCTTACTAAATTTCTTATATTGCATATAATTCTTGCTATCTTTATCTAAAATTCTCAACAACAAAAAATAGAAAAAAAGGGGGGCACATCTTATGCCTCCTCCCACCCGATAAATGATTTTATTATTTGTATTGGCACTCTAGCATGGAAGTAAAATCAAAGATATGAAACTTTGAAAGAACTAAACTAATTTATATAAAAAAAAATAATTATATAAATAATATGTTTACATTTATATGTTTATGTGTACAAAATGTAACTGTTATGAATAAGAAGGTATTGTGTATTGTTGTCACTATGTCCAGTCAGGGGGCCCTTGATTGGAAAAAAAAGAACTTTGAACTTATATGTAAACACCTATCATTTAACACAGCTAATAAAACTGATTTGACTGTTGTATTTAGTAAAATATGATAAAAGCAATACATTATACTAGTATAACTGTCTTACTTTTCAGGCAGTCGAGGTTGACGGCCTACAGACAGTTTGTATGTTGGAGCTGAGAGGAGAAAAACTTGGAAAAGGAAAGAGAGTAGTTATTCCATCGTGTGTGGTGAAATGCATTCGTGAAGCATTTCCCGAGCCAAATGGACATTACACAGGTTTTAGAACAGTATTTGACAATAGTTCACATTTGTTCTAATATATATATTTATTATGTACAGTACTGATGGATTAATTTTTTGATTTCAATTAAAAAATATTTGCTCTAATTTGACTCATTTATTTATTTGTGATTCACATTCAATCACAAACTTTGTTAAATCTTGAAATAAGATTTTGAACTAGTTCAGCCTTTTCCGGTGCAGGAACAGGTGCAATACTGCCCTGATTTTTGGTGTCAATTTTAGGAAAGATCATCTCCTCTTAGTGTTATACACTGGTTTAGCTACCCATTTTCCCGTTATCTTTGAGTACACTGTTTTGAACACTTCTTGTCCTTGTCCGTCAATTTTCTCCCACGGTTTTGTGACATATTGTGGTCAATTACTGCAAGCGACGTTCTAGCATTCATCTGGTCAAAGTCAAATTCTTGTCGTTTTGGAACATATTTTAAAAGTAAACTATGGTATACCTCCCAATTTCCAGTGTGGCAGAACTCACTTAAATGTTTAATGTCTTTCCTTAACCGTTTATTAAGGATAACTTCTTTCAAAGCATTGTGTGCTTTCGAATCTCTCACAAGCAACCTTTTTTTCTCAGCTATATCTGGTGTTATTTCTTCATGTGCACAGGAACTGACGGTCTTGCCCTCAAAAGTGTGCTTGTTTATCACATGATGAACGATGGAAACCCAACTTTCCTCTAACCATTCCTTATCACCGTTACAATTGCTAGTACACCACCATAGGTGATTGCATATAGCCTTAATCCATGGTGCAAGGTCTTCAGCTCCCCTCAGTTTGGATTTTTGTTGGAGTTTCTTGCGGACATTTTTTGCCGAATGCCATACATCAAACTGGTGTTCAGTTTCAGGATATTGTTTGTTCATCACACTTCTTATCTGGACATGTCTATCAGTTGCAAGAACAGTAATTTGAAAACCTTTGTCTAAAAGATACTCCATACATCGACGGAAACCCTCCACCTCCATCTTAGAGGAACTCCCAGTTTCAGTAACTTTGATAGTGACAAAAGCCAATATGTGTTGTGTTTCAATGTCAAGTAATGAATATGTGCAGTATTTGGCATTGAAACCAGGCGAATCACGCCTACCATCTCCTGCAAGCCTTAGTGGCCTATTTGAAGCTTTGACTTTGTCTAATAATTTTCCCTGTATTACCGTCCATGTATGTGCAATAACTGGCATAAGAATTTCTCGTTGTATGGTGTAGTAAGTTGAACTTCCAATAAATTTTTAATTCATATCCTCAGCAAATTAGGCTATGTGTGTGTAGGTTTGACCACATAACATTGTAGCAGCAGTGACTAGTAAGTTGTCAGCTGGCATGTTGCCTATGAGAGGTTGGGATAACCACTTATAGACAAGATGCCCACTGGTACAGAACACAGAAACTCTCATGATGGTACCAGATGAACAATCTTTTTTAGTGTCTGACAAATCTATTGGACAGTTACACTCATCACATTTGAGTCTAGCAAAGAGTTGGTCAAGTTGATTTTCAAAAACAATGAATTTTCTTTGATTAGTGATGCAAGCTTTAGTATCAGAAGTTGCAGTACTATCATCTGAATCTGTGCTCTCATTTCCTTGATTTTCAAAGTTTTGTATATCACGGTCAATGTCAAAGGTCAAGTCATTTTAATCATCACCGAAAGAATTACTTGCAATTGAGTTATCGAAAATATCATTCTCTTGTTTTATTGGAGTTGAGATTGACGGAGGTATTTTTGGTATTGGGGTTAATGGCCAAATAGCTAAAGTCTTGTCTGTTGTTTCCATGGTTATATCAGTGTTTACTCCAAATGAACAAGTTGATGGTCCAATTCGCATGGTGTAGCTGTGATCTGCTGTTAATATTGATGACTCGACGTTGTTGGCATGCAAACACATCATACAGGGATGACCACATGAGTTTCCTGAATACGTGACAGATAAATGGCTAGAATAAGTTGGTTCCTGACTTTGTAATTCCACTGTTTCAAGAACTTCAAAGTGTCCACTACATTCTCCTTGGTGCTCAGAAAAAATGCTCTATAACAAAAAATGTTTGAAAAAGTATTTATAATACACAATAAAACCTTTTCATTTTTTTGTCTTCATGACTAATAATATTTAATTAGAATTGTTTCAGAACTGAAATATATTTATAAAAGTTGTACCCCAAGCTGGAAAAAAAGATTTACAGATTGAGATATTCAAATTAATAAGAATTGCCAACAAAATATTTTGAAAATTGATTTGTTGATTGTAGTTTGCTTAACACCCAGTGGCAAATATTTCATGCATGTTCAGGACAAGAATAATAAATGCAATAGGTAGTTCCTGTAATAGAGGCCGGCAGGGATGAAGGTCTGGGAAATTTAGACTGCCACGAAAAAAAGAAGGGTATATTGGATAGGGACAGAATTTAAGCCTTGCAACAGGCCACCTATGGAGCCCTCAAAGAGTAATTGCAAGGGTTTTTTAACGTGCAAAAAGCGTGGTACTTTCTTTACACAAGGCTTCGGATTTAACGTCCCATTCTGACCAGACAGGGCTGCATATTTTTACATCACGCTAGCCAAACGGACGCCCCACTTTGGCGAGGATTTTACTGCTAGTCGGAGGAAGCCCAGTGGTGACCATATTTCTATTCCACAGTCACCCTCGGGGGCTTTAAAATTGAATCAAATCATTGTACAAAAAAATGTACTTTTGCATACCTGATCCTGTAAAGTCAAAGTCTCTGAACTGACTGAAGGTGTAGAACATGTTGCCGCTTTTGGTTTTTCAATAGACAGCTTGGTCTCTTCCTCGACCTGAAAAAAAATGAAATGAAATAAATACACGATATTTATTGGAATTGTTGTATTTCACCAACCAACCCCATCCCCCCCAGACCAGACACCCCCCCCCCCCCGCCGTCCCCTATTTTCTCTATGTGTACTAGTTTTGGATACCTGATCCTGTAAGGTCAAAGTCTCTGAACTGACTGATGGTGTAGAACATATTGCCGCTTTTTTTTTTAATTGACAACTTAATCTCTTCTTTGACCTGCAAAAGATAATGAAATAAAATAAATACACGATATTTATTGGAATTAAACTTTTAAGCTGACCCCTACCCATCACCCTTTTCCCCATATTTTTTCCAATTCCTCACGTGGAGAATAACAGTTTTTAAAATATCCGTTGTTGTTCTCTTGTGTTAATGCACAGCATATTTTATTTAAATAACTAGGCAAACGAATGTTTTGCGTTTCAGTAGCACAGACTGAAAAGGGGGTGTTAGAACCTAATCAATATTAGACAACTCCTACGAGACCAGGTTTCAGTACTTTGTTTTTGTTTATTAGTAACTGATATAAGTATTTGACCATCTCAGCAATGCATTATGATAATTGTTTATTATTCCCTGATCTCCGCGAGGAATGTTATATTGAGAACACACCGTGATACCATGATATATATTGTTTACAATCACGCGCATATTAAAAATGACCTCAAACGACCTGATAGTATGATACTACACACACATTACTGCACACGTGGAAATGGTTTTAATTTTGCGTATGACGATAAAACCAAGTACAAGTGATTCTTTTTTTAAATATTATTTTTATTTACTAACCTGTGCACTTCAACGTTTTTGTGTAGAATTGGTCGATCGTTCTTGTGTTTTTCTTGTGTCCATTCCTGTGTTGACAATTGTCGGCACTGCATTTTGTCGCAAATATTTTCTTTTTGGTAAGAAGTTCAAAGATTCTTTGACCAGGTTTCTCTCGAATGAATCCGGAGTGAAATGGTCTTCACAAACAACCTTGCTACTGTTATATTTAAAATTTTCTATTTGCAGTTTACCATTTTTCAAGTGCGAGATCCATTGTTTGCAAAGTTTTTTTATCTGCACTTTTTGAAGGATCAGGGATAAGGAAATTTGTTTTGTACATTTCCCCTTTTCGTTAGTACAATTAAATGCTTGGCAAGACGGCATCTTTATTGAAATATTCAGCGAAACATGTTTAATTTAAGCGAAGTAAAAAAATATTTTAATGATATGTTTATCCACACTGCTTCAGTACCAAACAGACTGTGTGACGTCACGAGACCTTCGGGGCTTATCGGTTTGAAACAATAAACAACGAGAATAATTGGCACTGAATCTGTCTTTTATTAGAAGAGTACTTACAAATGGCGTCTACCATCATATTGTGAAAATGTCAAATTTAATAAACCGTATTTCATTATTAGAAGAGTTACATTAAATCTCGTTGGGTTATTTACGTTTGATAAAACACTTTTTTTCATATAAACTCAGCTTCAGTCAAACCTGGAGTTTTCCTTTATTACCATTTATCACAGCGTTTACAATTATTTATGTTTTTTCTGGGTCTCTCATATTTAGTTTCTTTGTTTCTAATTCACAAAATTGGCAAAATACATGTATACATATGTAATGAAAGTTTTTTTTTAAGTAAACTGTCTGCTAGAAATTTGTTTTTCATAGTAATATAATATTTGAAATGCCAAATAAATGTTTTCTTTTTTATTTAAAGTTGTCAGCACTTTTTCTTCATTTCTAAAGATATTGCTCTGACATTTTCTCAATAAAATACGTTACTTTTTGTAGACCGGCAGTTAAAGTGCTGTGGATAAAGGCATTCTTTTCGTATTGAAAAAAACCCTGCTTTTGATAATCTTCATTTGTGTCCGTTTTAAGTCCGTCGTTTGGAAAATAATATTACATATATATATGCATATAAAGTCAGCACCAACTACTATTTCAAGTGCTCCACCCCTGTATTGATGAACTAATTGGGTATAATATAGAATTTGATTGTCATGAATACAGTTATCAATTTTAGTTTTGAACATTCTGCAGTAAAAAGTCGATTAAGAGATCATTTAGATTTTTGGGATCATATTTCAAAACCTTCTGAGTTTGATGTACGCATCATAAAATATGTTAACGTTATTCCCTTTGTCCAAGAACCTCCAAAATCTTTTATTTGAATAATAGCAGATCTGCTTTTAATAATTCATCTTTGTTTTGAAAACTATTACATGATTTAAAATAAAGGGTTGGATTACTGAAGATTCAAATTAACCCTATGTGATAAATCCTCTAACCGTGACTATCAGTGATCCCCAAAACAAAGATTAGTTTTAGATCTGAGACACTTTACTTAATATGTACAAACAAAGAAAACAAAGTTTGAAGGCGTTAGAGAGGCAAAGCAATATGCAAAAACAAATGTTTTTCATGTTCTAATTCGATTTACGTTCTGGTTATCACCACATAGATACACATCCAGAACTTTAAACATACATAGGTTTACTCTATTGTGATTGATGGACAAGAAAGATGTTTTGTTTTCTCTTTTTAACCATTTGGACTATCTTCTCCTGGACATATTTTCACTGAAGTAGTCCGAACATTAGTTACTTTTTGGAGAACACATAGTTTTCCGAACATAGGGTATTTGTACGACGGATATACATGTGACAACAAAAAAAGGTGTGTTCGTATGTCCAAATCAGTTTTACATACTTAGTGGAAATCTGGATTTTTACCAAATTTTGAAAAGTCTATTTTTTTACCAGTATAAAAACTAGGCTGGTTAGTTTTTTTTCAGGAAATCTACTATCTGGTGTTATTGAATTTCCAAAAAAGAAAATAAATAACTACAGTTTAAAATTGAATTTCTTTTTTTTAGATAAGGCCACACCATTTTGATTTATAGTTCTTCGGACAAAAGCTCCAAAAAATATGGGGCGAGCGAGCGAAATTTGTTTGATTGTATATATTTCTTGAAATTGAGTTTTGATGAGGCGGGGGTCTACAAGTGGAGCGAGCGGTATAATTATTTTTTTAAATTGTGCAATTTAGAATTTTATGCTTATGTTAAAACTGGGTTACTTCAAAGAAAAAAGAGGAGAAACATGATCTTATGCATACAATTAGATGTATGTGTGCCTGTAGTACAGTCTATACCATACTAAACTTTCTGGTTCGCTTTGATTTAGTATAATTTTGATTATTTTCGTCAAATAAGCTTTGACTGTGTGAATTTTCATTTAGATTCATACATGTGTATATACATGTATTAAGGAAGCATAGCGGATGAAGTTTAGCAAAAGGTATTATATAGGTTGAGTAAATTCATTGTGTGGAATACAATTAAAATATGTGTATATTAAAAAAAAAAGCCTTGAAAAATATTAAATATCTTTAATATCGTTGTTTTCATTATATGGTAATGATTGCTTCTTGTCTGCTTGACATCTAGTTGGAACTAGTTATCCATATTATGATCAACATAATGAGTGTCAGAGGTGAATAATATTTCAACAACATCCTGAGTAATAGTTATATTGCTATGCATGTAGATCTCAGTGTAATGAAACATTCCCTTAAAATACCTCAAGTCCTTCAACCATATGCATATGCATTATTCTGACTTGGCAAAATACATTTTCCTTTTGCCCGTGAAACCTTCAAGGTATTTCAAACTGGAAGTGATTGCACCAATAATACATCCCTAATTATTATTGAATCCGGGTCCGTTCGCCCTGATTCACGTTCGCCCTAGTACCTGTTCGCCCTGATACC